CTTCTGCCTAGCGAGAGTATTTTAGCTGCAAATTGTTTTAAAATTGGCTAAATTGTGCTAGGTATCAAGGGAGAAATAAACGAACAAGTTACAGACCTGAGCGCTGCTCTGGTGTGGTGAGGAAGAGGCCCTGCCCTCTTTGCTCCTGTCGTAGCTATTAGTCCCCAGTCGTGGATTGAGGAATGGTGTATTAATTTTCGTCAGGAAAAGAGGAGGCAAACCAAGCCGTACAAAATGTTTAGAGTTTACTGTATGGATTACTTAGAATTGTGGTGATTTTTGTTGCAGCAAGTATTTGGTATATGAACGTATCTGCAGGCATTTTGGCGGAATATTTTGTGACAAAACTGTTTAACATTGAATTGTAAACTTGTCTTGGCATAAACCACAATATTAAATCATATGTGTTTAATTGGCTCAATAAATTCATATGCAAGATTTATTTCTGACACGAGCAGTTTCAGTGCTTGTTCCTGAGGTTAGTTTCACTTTTGTTTTGAAATACCACTGGAGAGACTGACATCAGGAGTGTATGAATCCCCCACTTTACTTTTACTGCTGCAACTTATAGAAAAGACAAAAATAAGCTTTGAACAAGCAAACCTCTTTTAATCTTTATGGCTGTTGATTAACAATGATTTTATTTTTATTTTAACAATTCAGTTATTATACAGGAAGATGGCTCCAAAAAGGAGTATGAAGTAGTTGGACGTTTTCCATTAGTTGACCCTTGGTGGAAGGTTTGTGTTAAAGCTATAAAAATGGGATCAAAGTACTTCGTGCAAGAATATCCCTTCTACTCTCTGCGGACTGATATAGAAGAGAACAACCGACAAATCTTTTCACTCTTTCTTAAGGAATGTGGTGTTCCTGACTGTTTGAAAGAAAATTTTTTTACTTGGCTTCCTACGGACACTGTGCTGAGTTTTAGAAATCTTGTAGAAAAACTAGAACAGTTCCAAGTTTCACATGTAAAGCCAGGAAGGAGCCGAAGCAAAACTAATGATTATGACATCTTCTACTATGTTTCAAAATCATGTAGGTATATCCTGTGCTGTTTCGATTGTTTCATAAACTAAGGAGTTCTGTCTCAGATACTGTGGTCAAGTTAGCATGTCTTTGTATGAAAAGTATATCCAAATGAATTTTGAACATGCAGTAATTATCTTTTTAATATTTCAGAACAGTGGGACAACTGAGCAATTAAAGATAGGCATACGGAAGGGTTTTCCTGAATTCTGTAGGATTACTAAGTAGAATTGTCTGTGCTAGGGATGCTCCATCCCTGGAAGTGTTCAAGGCCAGGTTGGATGGGACTCTGCGCAACCTGGTCTAGTGGAAGGTATCCCTGCCCAGAGCAGAGGGATTGGACCTAGATGATATTTAAGGTCCCTTCCAGCCCAAACCATTCTGTGATTCAATGATGCAAAGACACTGCTGCTTCCTGTAGTTTATTCAGGTATAAAAAGTCTTACTGAAAAATGGGTTTGGAACTGTTTAAACACAGTGTTATGGCTTTTTAGAACAAATATGTGTTCAGAAATACTATAGCTGCGTCTTTTGTAGTACGGGGGAACAGTGATGGAGTTCAGCATAGTCCAAATCAGCTGCACTAAATAAACTGTGTAAGTATTTGAATCATGCCTATCAGTGGATTGGATGTCTGGGGAGCAGAATGTGGAAACACTGAAGTGTCCCCACGTGGAGATGGTTCAGGACTGCTGAGGATGCTGTTGTGGGCAATGTTAGTGTGACTACATGAGTGTTAGAGATTGGATCAGGAGTGTGTTTTTGAAGCAGACATCCCTCTTGTCCTCATTGTGATGCAGTCTCTGACAGTATTGACT